TCAATATTGGTATGTGCGTCATTAAATAATCTGAGTAAGTGTGAAGTATGACTTTCATTGTTGTACACAACATATGTGTCATCGACATATCGACAGTAGGAAGTTGTTTCGTCGATTGCATGCTTCAACCTTTTTCTTTCAAGGTTGGACATGAATATATCTGCTACAACAGGACTAAGTGGACTGCCCATATCTACACCATCTATTTGGCGGTAAAGAGTATTGTCAAATTGGAATCACACATCCATGGTGCAGATAAGTAGTAGGTTTATTATGCTAAAACTGTAGTTCTTGCTTTATTCAAACACAGATTTTAGTTAGCTACTTGATCGAACTGGCTTGTACTTCCTTGTATTTTTCGCTATAGTTCTTTTTCTCTCTCTCTCTCGTAATGATCAATTTTAAATGATACTGCTTATCAGGATTCATTCATATCTGCAATATCTATTCGTTTAATGATGTATCCTGTTCAGTATTAATAAAAATAAGTACAAAGGTAAAAAAGCAGCACAATTTCTCAATGTGTTTATCTTTGTCTAGCGTGATCGAAAGATAAAATTGCTGTTCTATTCTTTCTTTTATTCTGATAAACTCTTTTCTCTTACTACGTATTAGTTAATGTCTCTTCTAATTAACACGTGTATGCGTATCTGTGTTTTATATTCGTTGATTGTGGTCTCAAACTAGGAATGTTGCTGCTTCCACTTTGTCTAGACTGTCTGAGTGCCACATAAAAATCGGTGCCACATCATCGTACAAATACCAAAAATAAAAAAACAAAAATTTATGATGAAATTATGCCTTTACAAAAACAAAAAAAAAACTTTACACATTCTTTGGCTAGCCTGTAGTAGAGTTGATATTATTTCTCGCGAAGCCTTGAATAAATTTCAAATGTAGATTTTATCTTAGAGCTTATAATTTAAATATGAATCACCAGTTTCGATAAAGAAAGGAGGACGAAATTTTCAGTTTAAAATGATGTCATTCCATTTCACAGGTTCTCATCAGCTGCAGACTACCTGAAATTACAATGGTTTTATAGATGATAATAACATACTTCAATGTTTGAGTGGTGGTAGAGAAGAGATACTATAAAATTGACGCGTCTAAATGAACAAATGAAGGCATGGTCGAAAAGTCCATCTATAGAAAAGAAACCTGGACTGGACAATATCTTCACTATAACAACTTTTGTCCCATAAGCTATAAACGTGGATTAGTGAGGACTTTGTACGACAGAGCCAGGAAGCTATGTTCACCAAACAGGGTCGAAGAAGAATTCGATTTCGTCGAGAAATTTCTAAGGGAAAATGGATACCCTAAGGGATTTATTTATACAGAAGTAGAGCAGAGAAAAAGATGAGAAAGGAAAGCATCCAACTGTAGAAAAGAAAAAAGTGTTTATTTGTCTACCATACAAAGGAGATTCAGTGTCACAAAAGATTGAAAGGCGCAATAAATAGAAGCTTCCCGGCAGCAAAACTCATAACAGTATACAGCACCACTCCTTTAATCCACTCAAAACTGGACAAGTACCCTGCTGATGTCACCTCCAACTGCGTTTATAAATTCACGTGCACTTGCGAGAGCAAGTACATTGGAAGGACAGAAAGTAGGGCTTCTATCCGGTTTTCTGAACATATTCCCAAAATCCTGTGCCTGAAAGGAAGCAGATATTCCCAGAGTGCAATTACCAGACACATTGTTGATACCGGACATCTCGTAGAGATTTCTAAGTCCAAAATACTAAATAGACAAAGGACAGCAAATTTACTACGATTTGCCGAAGCAATCGCAATCAAACGATTTAAACCAGACTTATGCATACAGAAAGAGAGTGTGATTAACCTCTCACTCCCTTGGTAACAGAATTTTGATTAGTCATCTAATTCAGTGATCACAACTCACTGAACAAATCTTAATCTCATAAACTGTAACCGCTTTTGTTTTTTGAGTTTCTATGTGAACCTACAAGCTAACACTGTTCTGTTAATCAATTTTCCTGTTTTCTCTCTTACCCTTCCCCCTCTTTTCAACTTTAAAAGCGTATAAATTGATGATGAAAACTTGAACTAAAAACATTGTAATGCTTTCATTTAGATGCGTCAATTTTATAGTATCTCTTCTCTACCACCACTCAAACATTGAAGTATGTTATTATCATCTATATAAGCATTGTAATTTCAGGTAGTCTGCAGCTGATGAGAACCTGTGAAATGGAATGACATCATTTTAAACTGAAAATTTCGTCTTCCTTTCTTTATCGAAATTTATCAAGGGAACCAAATGTATGAATCACCAGTTTATTTGGTGGCTACTTGGTGGATGTGATGAAGGAGTAATGTTAATTGGTGGCTAGCGGCCGTGGGGGGAGAGTGTCCACTATATCTCGGTGATGTGGGAGTGCTCATCGATATCACGAATTCATGAGTTGCTGAAGTCCTGCTCGATTTTCTGAATGGTCAGTCGGATAACCTCGTAACCTGAAGGTTTGAAGTTCGATATCTGTAAGGATCGTGTGTACGCGCTGCTGAAAAGTCCCACTATTATAACCAAACAGTTCTCTAGTGCATTGTGATTTTCAGTGATCTGTATAACTAATGTTATTTCATGGTGAATTCTAACAAATAAAATTAAATCAATTATAATTACAGAACTTTTCTAAGAAAGGCTGACAATGAAAAAACAAAATTAAGCAAAGAATATCCTTTTCGATAATTTCATCTTCTGGCTGTATAATTGTGTATGCATGTTTATATACATGCGTCGGTGGCACAGCGGTTAGGACTCTCGCCGACTATGCATATGGTCCGGGGTTCGATCTCCGACCGACGCACTCCTTTACACGCTGAGCCAGAAATAATGCTGGTAAGGACTAAAGGTTGGACATGAGGCTAGCAACTTCATCCTGTAAAAATAAACGCTGCTACAGAAACTCCAAGCCACTAGCGTGAGGCCCTATGTTCCACTGGGAATGCGAAGGGAAATAAAAAATGTGTATATACATAGAATATTCTAGAATAATCGTCATTAACAATATTGGTGTTTCCTTAAATATTATCGATCTGTTAAGTAAGATCAATGGAATTACTGTTCAAGAAAGACGCTTAGGTTATAATAAGCATAAAAATATTACAGCAAATAGAATATCAAATAAAACTAAGGAAATTTCCACAACAGATAAAAGAATCACTAGAACCTTGGTGGCTAAGGTAAGGACAGTGTCTGAGCAAACTTCTTCTTTTGAATACATAAATTAGGTTTCTTAATGTGGATCCCAACGACCAGTCCCATGAATTTGTAGGAGACGAAGTCTTAAGGTGAAGTTAAGATTAGTTGTTATTCGGTAGATGACTTTGAACGCCTTTTTAATATCAATCTTGTATTCTGTGTCCATATGACAAGATAAGATAGAGCTATGATTGGATTTTGTTTGTCGTTTAGTTAACCACCATGCAGGATAGTGTTCGGAAATAAGGAACTATACAGACAAATTAGTGGTGTTGCAATGCAGTCACCACAAGAACCCATTCCAGCCGACATTTCCCTTGCAAAACAAGCTAATTGGCCTTTGAAAGATGTAATTGATGAACTAAAATTCTACTGTCAGCACATGGAGGATACATTTTTGATTATGAAAAATGAGGATGTTAAGCAAATAACATCCTTGTTGGCAAATTTAAAGATGTTCATCCGGTCATAAATTCTACCATCGAAAAAGAAAGAGACTCTAGTATTTCATTCCTAAACATCCTTATGACTAGAAAAGAGGATGGTACAATAAGAAGACGTGTATATGGAAAACCTGCATAAACTGGGCAATATTCTCATTTTTTCAGCTTTGTGCCTTTGAAATACAAACGCAGTTTAATAAATTGCTTGGTCCACAGAGCAAGAGCAATCTGCTCTAATGAATGTCTTAATGAAGAGCTTACTATTAATAAACGGTTGCTGAATCAGAAGGGTTAACCACCAAAAATTTATCGATAAAAAGATCAATCAAAAATCAAGACAGGCCGAAGTACCAACAGTTCCGAAAAGGGAAGGCCTTATTCCAACAACTTCATGTCATCGAGGATAGTATCAGTTAGATAATAACACAATGCTTAAGGAATGCAGTGAAAAAAAGCATTCAGTGCTGCTGAATTACACCGTGTCTTCACAACCATACCTATTTTGCTTTCGGGAGTAAAACAGAAACTGCCTAATTTCACCTCTTCTATGTATTCTCTTACTGATGTCACTTCATGATGAAATCCTGTAACCAATTAAACAAAATCTCTACAAAAACCAGTACTAGAAAAATATTAAAAAATAGGTGGAATACACTTGGGTTCATACATGCTTCTGTGGTAGACTGTCTTTCAATCACACTAGAGGTCAGGGTTCGTGCGGCGGATAATCAACCAAGAAGACAGGGAAGGTTGAGTGCCTGGGGGGCTAGGAACCTTACTCAGGAAGAAACAACACTGTCGCCACTGAGACTTCAAAGCTCAAGCTTAAAGCCTTTTCTATTACATTCGTTACTTGGTCAGTTAGTCATTAAGTCAGTTAACTGTCACACAATAATTATGACTCACAGTGTGATACTAAGTGACTAACTAACCTGCTCTCTTGACCATATGTGTTTGTATACCTGCCAAAAAGAAATTTCTTGGCAAACTCATTCTGAGCACAGAGTGTTTTGTTTTTATTACTTTGACTGAACAATGCATCGATTTGCTCATGTATACCTATCTACTGCGAGACAACTAACCTCGATATTTTCGGGGAGTTGTGTATTTTCATTTGTTTATCAGTGCACACACACACATGGTTTGAACCTTATCTCATATACCTTACCTATTTAGATTATATACACTTTCTAAGCAAGCAAATATATATGTGTATCATTTTTCTTTATTTATTGATTTCTTTTACCTCTTAAATCGAAAATACGATCTGTAAATAATGTTTAGCCTGTATTTACTATTCGTATTTTTCCATTTTTTGTTTAGGTAGCTGCACTATACTATACACTATGGGTACTCATATGTATTTTTGCGATAGTACCTCGATTTCTGCGTGGCCCACGTATGTGTAAGTTGTATTTGTGTGTGTGTGGGGGGGCGTGTATTTGTAGAAATACACATTTCCCTATTGTGTGGAATTATGACAACGTCTCTCTCTCTCTACCTCCTTTGAAGTACCAATAGTTACCTTGGTGTTATACATTACACCTTGTTCAATGAAATGTTCACAAACCTGAAGAGTCTGAATCAAACGCTTTTATTGTTAATTATTTCCGAATCCACAGATATAACTGTGTCAGTGTTAATCTTATTTTAAGCATCTTAGACGTTGGTAGATCAACAGTAGAATGGTAGTCAACTATGCACTTGGTTCGAGTTCTATTCCTCAAATGATGCACTCTTAAGCCTCGCCTAATTTACTAGCCAATAGTAAGACGAAAAGGTCAGGCCAGAAATCCAACTCCGCGACAACAAAAACAACACTAATGCTACTGGAACTTCAAAGCTTGAAGCACTGGGTTTCACTCGGAACGCAAAGGGATAACTATAACATTTAAAAAGTTTCAGATATCTAACTACTATCTTGATACTATAGTACAACTTTTGTATAGTGATGACTCACTTAATTTGTGATTATTTTCTCATTATTGTTCCCCTGGGTTCCAAGCAGAATATAGAAGGCCTCAACAGTTCGTCTCTATTTCATCCTGGTTTCGGCAGTTCTATTCAACTGGTTCCACGATTGCTCATATGCTTTCATTTCTTCATCACATAATCTTCTCCATGTTACCTACAGACCACATCATATTTGTCGTTTACTACTTGGGTTTCACTCGACGACTAGCATGGTACACGATGTCACCTAACGGTCTTCCCGGCGTGTGTTCGCTTTATTTTTTTGCGGTATACTTGTTGGTCGGTTCATCGCTAGCGTTCCCTGTTATTTATCCTTTCTGGTCATCGGATCTTCGGTATGGAGCGTATTCTTTCATCGGAAGGAGATATACACGAAGAAACGATTTCCTCAATGTATGGGTTGGAGGAGATCGTGTGAAGACGAGATGAGAGATTGTGAGCAACCGTTGTCCAAGCTGAAGAGGACGACAGAAGATAGGAAAAAGTGGAGATGTGTTGTTGAAGCCAGTCCTATGTTCCATTAGGAATTCAAGGGAATAATAATAAAATAATGTGGTTTGTTGCTACTTGCAAGATTTATCAGTAGTATACAGGGAAACTTTCATCGCCACAAAAAAAATCAAATGACGAACAGATAGATTCGACGTTAAAGAGTGCAAGTTAACCAGTATTGCGGAGAAACGCAGAAAAGACATAGAAGCACAAGACCAAGGGCAGAAGTAGCACAACACATCAATCGATGAGGTTATGAAATCTGGAGACAGCTAGGGCATGTGTTACCACTCTTGTTTAACCACCACCTTCCACTGTATGCAATTTTAGTTAATATGAGACTAGGTTGGATGTTCTCTACTGAAGTATGACAACTCAATCTGACGCAATTTTGTCCAAAGCTTTACGTTATTCGTTTAAATTGTGACTGAGTATGAAATGAATCAGTAGGCATCAAAAATATAAACGTGTACATGTTACACGTTTCAAAAGCTACATTTGAAATAAATTAATTCATATAATGTAAATTTAGTGTATCAGTTGTTTACTAGGCAAGCGACAACTGGTAACACCTACCCTTTGTTTAATAATTTCAGTTTTGTAATCGAATTATTGAGAAAATCGAATTAAGTGTTGATTTTTGTCCACATAAATTATCATAATTCGTCATTCTCGCTGTTCATTCCTGATATGAATGGTAGTGTAAGGCTATTGTTGTTCAGACTGGACAATGTGGTACTATACAGAAAGAGTATAAGTCGATGGTTTGAAGACTGAATTATTTCTGTATTTTTATTAGTAATCCCTTGGGTTCCGAGTAGAACCATAGGGTTTCAACGGCATTTTACTTTTTACTTTTTTTTGTGTAGTCTTGTTTAGCTGGTCTTATGGTCGCTCATAGTCTCTGGTGTCCTACTCTCACGATTTCCTCCATGTCATCCTTTGACCTATGCCCAACACATCGTTTCCCATTCGGGTTCCACTGGAGTGATATGGCCTGGCGCAGGATATTACTCAGCGTATATCCGATTCATCTCCATTTTTTCGCCCTATTTGTTGAACAATAGATTCTTGACTAGTTCCTTCGCAGAGCTTCTTGTTGCTTATTGTTTCTCACCGGCCATGTGGTCTTCAGTATGGAGCCAGAGAAGACAGCTGTTAGTAAAACTCCGCAGCAGACGGTTGGAAATGCTTCTGGTGACATGCCAAGTTCCTGACCCGTATAGAAGAACTGACTAATTAGACATTGGTGTTGACAATCCGGATCTTCTTTTTTATGCTAATTGCAGTAGATTTCCAAATTGATTTCTGAGTGACGAAGACATAACCTGCCTTTCCGATTCTGGCTTGCCTGCGTTCTATTTCCCGTGTAAAGTGGCATAATAAGGTGAGCAACATGGAGGTTAGGCGTCGAGTTCTAGGTAAACAGGGGAAATCAATCGACGAAGTCGTGAAGCTACATCGACTGAGATGGTTAGGACATGTGTTACGTATGCCAAGTCATCGCCTCCCTCGACGAGCTATGTTAGCGGATATAGGGTCAGGCTGGAAAAAAGCTAGCGGCGGTCAAACAAAAACTTGGCATCAGTCAATGAAATCCACAACAGTTGGTCTAAGCCACGTAGGAAGGTGTAGACTTCCAGGCTGGGGTCCTCGAGACGGCAAAAATCTATGGTTGGAAACAATTGGTGACATGGCTCAAAATCGTTCTCAGTGGCGCAGATGCATCCACTCCCTATGACTTATGATCTTCAATGAAATTGTTTTGTATTTCTTTATTACTCCTTTGTCTCACACCTCTGCTCACTGTTTCTATTATGCTTTTCTTGTACTTTCTTCTCATGCTTCGCGTGCTACACGGAATGTGGCGACTTGAACTTCCGCACATTTGTGCAAAGTTCTATGTCGAAAACAGACAGACAGACAGAGACAGATTCTGGCTTTGACTTCTTCATCACTTCCGCCTGCAGTTGAGACAGTGTTTTCTAGATAAGTGAAGGGAGTGACCTCTTTCAAATTTCACCTGTTGATAGTGACTGGTGCTTGTTGTTGTTCCCGGTCGGTTATTTTCATCACCTCTGTGGAAGACTGAATACTTATGCTAATTCCTAATCATCAGTTACCCGTAGACCCCACACAAATGAATATAATGAGGAAAGACAGACTAATCCGGGCTGGTGAGGATTAAAATACATTCCTATACACAAGTATTGCGTACCTTGGAAAGTTAAGTGCCAATAATTAACTGATTTAATTAATCGCGTAAGTTCCAACGTTGTCCAGTGGCATTGTAATAAATATTCTACTTAGCCCATTGATTTGTCAGTAGGACTACTGGCGATGAAACCAAACAATAGGGGAATGGAGGTCGACTAAACCTTTAAAGTGACATGACACTCCAGACCGTTGAGTGTAATCCTAATGGGTAATGACAAGATGGGTGTGGATCCAAGGGTGATGCGGAGGAGATCTCTGTGAGGAGGGAATGAGAGTTTCTGGAATGCCACGCAGGCAGCTAAAATAGACTACACAGAACAGGGTAAAATGAAGATGGGCTTCTGAAGCCCTGTGTTCCACTAGGGACAACAACAAGAGTGTGAGGCATCAGAAAGGTGTTTTGTCCCATATTTCTTCTCTTATTGTGTATTACGTCATAAAGACTAATGAAAGTAGCATTATCCCCCGCCCCTAATTAAATTGATTTAATTCAACTTCTACACCTCAGAATGCGTTTTCTCTCTTTCCCTATGTGTTGCAGTGATGTGTCTGTTTCGAACACGACTTGGTAAAGGCATGTACAGAGTATCCGCATCGAATCGTTTACTTTCAGCTATATTAATATATATGCTGTATAATATTTCATGTAAGTATTTAAAAGTGAAATATCTGTCACAACTTCTTTACAAATATTCCTCTTTTTGTTAACATGTTATGTCTTTCCCCCTCTCTCTTCTTATTTCTGAAAGATTAATTCTTTGATGTTAGCTAGTTATGATTAGACAATTTTTTAATAGTAGTAATTATCATTAGGAGGATATCATCCTGTTTGTTAGACAGCCTTTTGAACTTCTCGAGGCTATACCAAAGTGTAATGTTATGAAGATCTGAAGGACTACTAATTAGACACGTTAGTATTTTAAAACAGGTTCATTGTCTTCATATAGTGAATAGACTTTAGAGGCTGAGGGTGTTGACGCTCACCGATAGTACGATGAATACTAACACAACATCTAATACCCACAACTTCTATAGTATTCGTTCCGCATAGATCAAAGACAAAGTAAAACACCAGGATCGATCGTCCAAATTACGTAGTATATTTCGGGACCAAATTGGAGTGCGAGGCGGATTGTTTAACTAGCTGAGGATCGTTCACGAACAACCGAATGTAATACAACGGCAGACCGAATGGCGTGGATGCTTGACCGGAAGCCTTCAGCTGAACAAGTTGACTTAAACAGTATGGGTCGGCATCCAGTGTTCAATGAGGAATGCTGTGGCTAGGCAATTTGTCGTTATGTCCACAGTTCTTCACACTTGGAGATGAGTAGTGGATTTGCATTATAGAATTTCTTCAAAATCTCGTTCTTGTGCCTTATCTGATCGAGAATAACAAATGTATCATCAATGTAGCGATTATATAGATCCACTTTATCTGTAACATGTTTTTAACCGATCATTCTCTAACTTAACAGGAAACTACTACAGACGTGTGTCATTAACGTACACTTCACATTCCTTCATTTGTGTTATAGACAACTTAGTAGCATCCTTCTCATTTCTAGATTAGGCCGAATTTCCATAGAGACTTTTCTCTGAATTGGAGTCAGCTGGCTGGAGGCAATCGACAGGAAGCCTTGGACCCAGGTTTTATGCTTGTTGGCGCTCATCAGAAATCTTGACAGAAGTCATTTCCATTCCGAAAATTACAGGCGAGTCACTCGGCGCTTTGGCCTGAGACGTTACTACCGACCTATTCGGACTGGCGATTGACCTCCTGTAGAACTGAATGTATTGGACACTCTTATCGGATATTAGATAGACAGACTGATAGAATCCAGTCTGCATGAAACAGAGGACTAGATGGATGGCATTAGTTAGTACCCAGTGTTTGGTGAAATATGTTTTCCTCCTTCAGTTACAGGATGTGTTCAATTTGGCTGGGTCCTAAACTGGCCAGTAACTTTAGTCTACTGTGTTGAACATGATTTTAATTAATGTATTCATTTATCAGACAAACTGGATGCCTTGAAATAAGAGATAGTAGCGCTCACTTTTGATGATGTGTCAAGTATATTACGACTGTCTGAATGGAATTCAACAGATTCATTGGATTGGCATATCTCATCACATATGTTTAAGAATCGAAAAGTGTTATGGAATATGTTACATTTTTCTTGTCTCTTCTACACATCATGAAGAAGGCTTCTTTGAACTAGTTGTATAAAGTAACCCAATTTGTGAAAGCTTAGCCTGTTTCACTTGCCTACGATAAATAAATGTCTTGCATAAAGGGCACTATGCCTACAAGAGTAGAACTTGAGATATATAATTCCGTATTACACAATTTTATTTGATATAATACACATTGACAGATTGATGATAACTGGATGACGTTTCGAGCACTATTCATTCCTCATAATCATATCTGTGTAGCGTTTCTCCATCCTGTTTTTTCCATTAAACTGGAATTTCTCATGTGTCAGGAATAAGTGTTTATTATTATTATTGTCCCTTTGGGTTCCTAGTGGAACATAGGGCTTCAACTGCACGTCTCCACTTACTTCTGTCTTCTGCTGTGCTTTTCACCTGCATCCATGTCAGTTCATACTATTTCAACTCCTCTCTGTTCACACGATCTCCTCCATGTCACCCTTGCACCGACGACCCACTCGCCGCTTCCCTTTCGGGTTCCACTCGAGCGATGGCCTGACGCGCGCGCGATGTCACCAACCAGCCTCCTCAGCGAGTGTCCAAATCATCTCAATCCACTTTCTCCTGCATATTTGTTGGTTGGCGATTGGTTCTTGTTTTGTTTGTTCCCATAGTTTCTTGTTGGTGATTCTTTCTGGCCTGGCCATCTGATTTTCAGTGAATAGCGAAGGCAGTCGTTGATAAAGGTCTGGTTTGCAACAGGCTGTTGGAAATATTCTTTGTGACCCGCCCGCCAAGTTTCTGATCCGTGTAGAAGAACTGACTGACTTGACGTTTGTATTGAAAATCCGACTGAATTTTGTTGTTGATGCTGGCTGAATGACGAATATTTCCAAATTAGTTTCAGGTTGATGAATGTGTTTCTCGCCTTCCCGACTCTCGCTCGACTTGACATCCTCGTCCGTTCCGACTGCCTGTAGTTGAGACAATGCTTCCTAGATAAGCGAATGAATGAAGTAACCTCTTTCAAATCCCTCCCGTTGATGATGATTGGCGCTGGATATTGCTGCTGTTGTTGTTGGTTGGTTATTTTCATAACCTCCGTCTTGTCTATGTTCACCTGGAGTCCTGTCTTCGCCGGCTGCTTCTTCGACCAGTTTGTCAGTTTTCGCTTGTAAGTCTTCGATTTTGTGACAGTGACATCAAACATAAATCATCCACACGCGAAATCCAGGTCTTCTAGGTTCTTCAGGTCGGTCGGTCCAAGATATCCCTGTTTTCTCGTTTCCCACTGTCTGACGCATAATCCAGTCCACCACAATTAGGAATATCATTGGTGATAGATAATAAGCACCCTTGTCTAACTGCTGTGTTGCATCCCTCTTATTTCCCACAATTGGCATTGATTTATTAAGAACAAAGGATTTCGGTAATTCGGTACTCTCTCTTTCTCCCCGCCTGATTACATGGATTACTTTTAAATATTTTCACCCTATCTCATCCCATTTCGTGATTACATGCAAGGGCGTGCATAGCAATAACTGAGCATTTTTCAAGATTATTTAACTCGATATTATCGACCATTATAGATCTAATTAAATTCCTTCGTTCTTATAGATAACAAAGAATAAACGAAAGTTATAAGTTGACATCATGTATGCAATAATCAGTCAGACACTTGAGTTCTGTGTGCGTGTCTGCCAGTGTGAGTGTTTCATGAGCATTTCAGCATATAAGTAACTATAATTGCACACCTTCTCTCAGACCCAAAGGTGTATATAATTCAAAGCATTTTTGAGTTTAAACTATAACTATAACATAATTTAACTAGTCTTCGCTATTTCAAAAAACAAAAGAGAATCCGAAACAATTAGACTAATTCCTTGTAAAATAAAGTTACGCTTACTTTACATCGCTGATTTTCATATACACAGGTATAATTTTGTTTTGATTAACCTGCTAACTTTGAAGCGTTATTACACATGTTGCAAAACAGAATCAGTTTATAGATTTCTTGACCAACGGCAACATAAAAGGATAGAATTAATGAGGTTTGATACGCATTGATTTGTTCAGTGTTTAAATGGCTTCTTTTAGCGAAAAATATACGACGACTTTTTTGTATGTTTGATCATTACTGTCTCCGGTGGACCGCTTGTCTGATATATGTCGACGCCATTACAAGCCTCTCTGGTGGTGCATGATGTTACGACAAGGTAGTGGTTGCTATCTTATATTAAACATATCCCATTAATGCCGTGTCAACAGTTTACATATCAGTTACAGGATTTCATCATGAGCTAATATCACTTAGAGAACCATTAGAAACTATTTCTTCCTGGCTTGGGACCCTTCATCGGTACGCACCCACTGGGGTTCGAACCCACAACCTCGAGGTTACAAGGCGGGTTCGTAGACCATTAAGCCACTGGGACCCGATCCAATACCCCATAAATCTCAGCTTCTGCAAATTCATGTCATATAGTGGTTGTTAGTCTTTAGGTATTTGGAAGAAGGCCAAACGTAGTCAATGCATAACGCAACGCTGTGGAATGAAACACAATGGTTTGGGGCAGCCGTTTTTTTGCTCTTCACTATGACTAAGACTTTTCACCGGTGCGCATCGAAGACTCCACCTGGGGCCTCCAGCTTACATGCTCACCCCGCTGGTCTTCCAACCACGGGAGTGTAATGACACTGTTTATGAATCCTGACATCTGTCACTTCGCGATATAATGCTACAGTTTACTATCTCCTACGAGATATGTGTGCTTACTATTGGCTAAAGCTGTGATATCCTGAAGGTTCAGTAAGTAATCATGTTCGCTCAGCAGGGTCCACCATATTGTCTGTGAAGCTGATGCTCATCCATAGCATGCCTTGGCTGTGACGCTATATCGTGAACTGACACATGTTAGAAGCCGTGGGTAATTGGTCAATGGGATCGCCTCGAGCTCCAGTAAAGAGTAGATACCACGGTCAGATGACCTTCAACCATCCAGTCATGTGCTTCCAAGTAAAAAAAAAGACATTTAAAGTATAAAAAGTGTGTTTACTGGATATACATATATAACAGAAATGAATTATATGGAGTATATATGATATGATTATGAGCAATAAATTGTGCTCGAAACGTCATCAGTAAACATTACTGTATAACACTGTGAGACTTTATCAAAACAAAGTTTACTCATAATGGAATTATACTCTACCACAGTGCACAAGTTTTATTCTTATATATGTGTCTAATATACTGAGTGAAGAGGTCTCAGCTTTCCATAACAGTGACTATAGTAAATTTAACCAGAATCTGCATGAGTTCATGCTATAGGATCCACTAACTCTGAAGAATGATTAACTTCATAATAATTACAATCTAGTGATTGTAGTTACATTGTTCAGCATTTCAAATGGATGCTCGCCCACCTCCCTAATCATTGTTGTAAGTTTCACCCTTACCTAAACCATAACCCTATCTTGATCCTTTTCTAACCTTAACCTTGAATCAAGCTGAAACTTGCACCGAAGATTACGAAAAGCAATCATTTGTAATATCGAGGGGTCTGATTGGCTGTATCAGGGTCACTTAACTGTGGTACTTCTACTTCACTGCACAAACCAAAGATCCTCAAGCTGATCCCTGGTGAGGTTTTGGTGTACACTGTGAAGAGGCTCATACTCCAGGACTGAAAACGGCTTCTCCGTGCTAGTAGGTTTCTAATGATTCTCCAGTCAATGTCAGCTGATGACATAATTTGCAGTGGAATGATTCGAAATTTCCACCAACGCAAAAATCGCAGATAATAATATTAACTTTTTGTTGTTGTGAGTTGTAGTAGTAGTTCTGAAATAATTATCACATTGTGATTTTCTTTTTTAGGTCCAATGTTCATGGGTTTTCTTGTGGCTGATAAATTTGGCTTTGTATTTTCTTACGGTGTTTTCGTCGGTGGTGTTTATCTTCCAGAAAAATTGACTTACGTTTTTGCATCATGTCAGGTAAATCTTTTTTTCTTTGACTTTTTGCGACTATATATATATATATATATATATATATATATATATTCCCTATGTTTCTTAACCTCTCCCTAAATACTCTGTTGAAAGGAGAATAGTCCTTTTGGAATTTCCGCCATTTCCAGAAATAATCAGCTTACTTTTTTATTCAATTACTTTCCCAGTGGAACATACGGCTTCAGGCTAGAGGCTTGATGTTTTTGTAGCAATGGTATTTATTTTAACATGATGAGGTTGCTAGCTCCATACTTAACCTTCCCTCTTTACCAGTCTTATTACCGGCTTAGTGAGGTAAAGGGGTGCATCGGTGGCCGGGAATCGAACTCCGGACCACATGGGGCGTGGTCGGCGAGCATTCTACCGCTGTGCCACCGACTCAATCAGCTTACTAGTCATGAGAAATTTTTGTTTGTTGGCTGGCTGGCGGGGGCATTGTTTTGTTTATACTGTTGACACAGGAATCAGCTGAAAGCATTCAGATTAAAAACAAATGTTATTTTGTCAGACAGATGTTTAATTCAAATTTAGCGAAGTAGACAATTACTAATCACTCTTATATTGAGTAGATGGGGATTACCCAACCACCTTCCAACAGTCAGTCAATATAGTCATTACATTCTTTTAAGAGATAAGTCATATTCTGAAATTGTTTAATAGTAACATTTTTGACTTCGGGATTGAATGATGTGGGTTCATATCTCAGAGGGGATATCATTTATTTTCCAACCCTGCTGACCGCCTTCATCTAACAAACATGTACTCTGAGTTGTTCTTATTAGATAGTTGAAAGTAATCAACAGGGAGCCTTGCAACTAGGTTTCGTGTTTGTTGGCACCCGTCATCAAGGCGTATCTGTAATCTGACTGCAGCACTGGGTGTCTTGAGTTCATATCTCAGGGGGGGCATGAGTTTCTCCAAGGTTGCAGACACGCCTTAATGACTGGTGAGTGCTAGCAAACACGAAACCTAGGTCCAAGGCTTCCTGCTGAGTGCACTGTGATAGTGAACCATCCTTAGCGTGGTGGCCACATCGCAGTCTTGACTAATAGAATCCAGTCTACAGTAAACTGGATAATAGACACACTAGTTAGTGTCCGGTAGAAACACGTACTCTTCTTACTATTGGCACAGTGTCATGTTCTAATAGTTTTTAATTGATTATTATTATGATTCCCTTGGATTCTGAGTGATGAAACATAGTGTTTCAGTAGCACATCTTCAATTCATTCTATTCTTTGAAATTCTCTTCACGACTGCCCATTAACTCTCATCTCATACTTACACGATCTTCTCCTTGTCACCCTTAGACATCCCACTGGTGATTTCCCATTCATGATAGCCTGACACTTGATATCATTCAATCGGTCTCTCATTGTGTATCCGACCTATCTCTTTTTTCTTGAGAATATTTATTGGGCAATAGGTTCTTGATTGGTTTGTTACTAAATGTCCTTTTTACCCATCTAATCTTCAGTATGAGTGGAGGGCTTCGTGTGCTTTTGGAGGTGTGTGGGTGGTTGTTACTTCCCCGCTGCCCACACCACGAAAGTCGATTTGTTTTCTTGGGGTGTCTGAAACGGAGAGAGAATTAATGTTGCTTGATTGCAGAGCCCATGGAATAACTGCTTGAAGCCGGTCACATATGGCCTATCTGAACTGGCATTTTGGTTTGGTGCCGTATTAGTAACATACCACTGGCTACGGAGCACCGCAGGGTAAGTTGGGATGTATAATTTTTGGTGTCGCCATTTTCTAGAATGAAGAGACAGCATAGATGGCTGGCATGCTGGTCATCTGAGGGAAACGCTTCATTGCTGTTACATCCCTGTTCCCCAGCAGTACGACTTCGCCCACAGACCCCCAACATATTGTAAAAGAGAACCTTACACTATTCCGGTGACTGCTTTCAGTTTAATCGCTATCCTAATAATCTCTTTGGCATTGTGGGACCTTCAGGAACATTAGTTCCAGCTAGCGTAGTTTGTTGGGTAATAGCGATATGCAAGCCAAGGTAGCAACTATCAGTCAGATCTTCAGTATGAAGCGAAGTTGGCACCTGTTGACGAATGGCTAAGAATACCTGTTATAAATGCTATAAATGGTGACGCGCGTGTGTTTCAAGTCTGTGAAACATGCAGGAACACTGATTTGACATCAGCGTTGAAGATTGGGACCTTGTTCCTTATTCCTTTTTGCACACTGATTTCGTCTAGAGAGTAATGAAGATTTGGATCTACCTACATTTGTCTAATCTTTCCTATTTTCTTCTCATTTTTTTTCGTTGTTTCCAGCTAATTTTCTTCTTCTTGTTGCTGATATCATTTTACATGCACTGTGGTATTCGACAAACCGACTCACTTGTTACACTGGACAAAGACTCTGTAACAGAATATTCCACCAGTAAAAAATCTGCTCTACATCGTCATACTAATCGATTATACAATCAAATAAAGAGTAATTATTCTCGTTGTATATCTGTTACATTAATTATTTTTACAATCTTTCATCTAATATGCAACTTTTTATTAGTTTGGTTACCATATGGTTTTTTAACAGTTTTATTAAATCCTGGTTGTATCCTGCCTATTGTTATTGCATGGTTCATGTATATTTTCTGTCCACAACCTGATCATGTGAAATATTATACACAGTGATTATTCAGTTAATATGTATATATACAACCAACCTACCTACCTACAACCGACAGACACAATTACACACACACACACACACATACCTACAATTAAGTGCATACATAAATACACAGGCGTGATTTTTCTTCAAAAACTATTTTTTGTTGTTGCTGTTGTTGTTTTCATTCATCATTTACATTGAATCACTTGTTGCATAACAGTTTATTGGTAGGAATCCATCGTTATTGTGTGATTATCGCTCATTCCAGCGTCATCGTCATCATTATTTTTTTTGTCTTTCTTTCATTCATTCATTGTATCTGTCCACATAATATATACATATTTAAATATGCATATATATGTATTTGTACAATGGTTACACGCGTTGATTTCCCTTGATATCTACGGTCGGCCTGCGAAATTTGGGCTACCGATATCCATGCTGAAAATTCCATACTTGTACAAAAAATACAGTGTGGAATCAAGCTGTAATCAAAAAAATAAAATAAAATAAATACTTCTCCGTTAATTTTTTTTCGTTCCTTTCTAAGCCATAATTATTCCATCTGTGTATATCTTCTTTTTTTCTTCTTCAAAACTCGTGTTTACCTTTGGTTTTTTTTCATTTAAAAATAAAGTTCATATTGGCGATTGAGTTCTCCTTTTTGATCGATAGGAAATTACTCATCAGGCTATACAAGACAGGCATATTTAGGCTAATTAGTAAAGGAGGTTGTAGGCGACAAAGAAAAAACCCCACCTTAATTAGATTTCAAGATTGGAAGGCTTCGTGTGCGGTCAGTTGTTACTTCCCCGCTGCCCACACCGTGGAAGTTGATTAATTCTTCGGGTACCTGAAACAGAGAGAGGGTTAGTGTTGCGTGACCGCAGAGCCCAGGTGACAAGTGCTTGAGTCCGGTCACACACGGCCTGTATGAACTGGTTTCTGGGATTGGTTCCGTATTAGTAAACTTAACGCCGGTTACAGACCACCGTAGGTTAAGTCGGGATGTATAATTTTTAGTGTCGACATTTTCTAACCCTCTCTCTCCAGAATGCTGATCATCTGAGGGAAACACCTTACTGCTATTACATCTGTGTTCCCTAGCAGTATGACTTCGTCCACAGATCCCGCAACATAGTGTAAAAAAGAACCTTACACTATACCGGTGTCTGCTTTCAGTTTAATCGCTATCCTAACAATCTCTCTGGCATTGTAGGACCTTCAGGAGTATTAGTTCCAGCCAGCGTAGCTTGTTGGGTAATAGCGATATGCAAGCCTAACCACTACGTCAAGGTAGCAACTATTGGTCAGGTTGGAAACAATTGATGATATGGCCCAAAATCGTTCTCAATGGCTGGCGCAGATGCATCCACTCCTTGTGACCTATGATTTCCTATTAGATTATTTTGTTCTTCGTCATCGCTATTCTTTTATATCTCACCTCTGTTTACTGTCTCTATTATGCATTTCTTCTTGCTTTGTGTGCTACATGGAGTGTGGCGACTTGACCTGCCGCACATATGTGCAAAGTTCTTTGTCGAAAACAGACAGACAGGTTTCAAGATACAAACGTGCTAGTACGTTGAAAGGAACACTTTAAGGAATAATTGAACTACTAGGCTGCAGACATCACGGTCAACTTGCTTGAATTTGAGGTTGACATTCGATCGTCCTCCACCGCCTTCTCCTTCCTCGACGACTAATGTTAGCTGATATAGGATTAGGTTGGAAAAATGAAAGCTGAAAGTTGTCCAATCAAAACGTTGGTATCAATCCATGATGTCTTTGATAGTTAGTTGGTTCGAGTGAACCATGCAGGGAGGTGCTGGTGTAGACGGTGTGGTCGGAGTTCTCAGGATCCTAAGAACAAACATCTTGAGACCAACAATGATATGACTTCTCAGAATCGGTTGTCACTGGCTCAGATGCATTCAACTCCATATCCAGTGGACTGTCATGTTTTTCCATTTTGCTATTCTTTTTCCTGCACATTTCTGCTCATTCCAGTTCTTCCTAATCTATTTTTTTTGTACCTTCGTGCGCCACATGGAGTATGGCGACTTGAACTATACTGTACTTCTGTGTAAAGTTCTATGTTAATAATAATTATGATAATAACTTTATTCCAAACAGTACTTTTCATACAAATATGGAATTTTCACCATATATATGTATGGTACAATATATTGCATCTGGTATTCTCACCGCAGTGAGAATAATTAAAACAGGGCGTTTAAATTTACATAACATTGTTAAATATGAACATGAATTTAAATGGAAATATTAACAACAACAACAATATATCACTGGAAGAAAGAGTTTAAAGGGTTGTTTACTTAGTGTTTTTCAGTATGTTGTAGTAGTGTCATGCCTTACACTTTTCTCATCACATAAAATGTGTGCTTAGTAAGGTGTTGTAGAGTTTTTTATTACTTAGCCGTACAAGCATAAAATCTTCTATAACTGCTTTTAGTCCTACCTGAGAGAGTTGTGTATTGGAGAGGATGCTCAGATTCCTACAAGATATTCGCTAATTTCTAGCATGAGTCGTCCATGTGTCTATCTACAATGGTATTCACGAAATTGATTTAGTGATATCCCACTCACACTAGTGACAGCTTTTAGTGCCCCTTACTAGGTAACAAAGTATTTTCTGAGTAGTCCAAGAGAGATTAAGAGAGACCAAAAAAGAAGAATAGGTAGGATAAATGAATTAACAAACTTTAAAAGTAGAATTACTAGATTGTCTTAACTTCCTTGAGTAAAACTATAAACGAAATATCTTTCTACAGACTGACATGATGTGCGAAGACCAGGAAAGATTGGAGGAAATACACGATTCGAGGTATTTAACATTCTACTTAGTTTCAGCTTCTATGCCATCGATGATGCCACAATCACGGATACAAACCAGTTCATGTAAATCGCGCTTGCATCTGAAAGTGAGGTTAATAACCTGACATCTAGAGGGATTTGACGAAGGCCACTGACTAACACCTTCAAACACTGTTTAATTTTGGCTTTGCTACCGACATGCTAATATGTTGTTGTCAAAACTGACTGAGATAACTTTAATCTATGTAGAACTTTATTCATTGTTAATGTACTAACTGGATCCAATATTGTAGTAAAAATGCTGAGAATTCCATTCTGTATCACAAGTACTGTTTTGGAATAAAGCTATTATCTTATCTTATCTTAAATTTCTGATGAAGTCATTTATTTTGGAACAATCTAACTGAGAAGTGACAGACATAGAAGCAGTCAGATGATTGCCATACTTAGCAAAATACGTTTCGTTAGAATGGCCAAAGCATGTAAGAAGAAAGGAAACAGAAAAGGAGAAGTAAAGTCACCTTGAGGAACACCGGCCACAGTAAGTAAAGTAGTGGGAGACTTCCCATTATGTACGGTGTACTGCTTCCTCTCAGAAAAGTACTAGTGCTAACTTATGAACAAAAGACATGATATCCACTCCATCGCTCATATCACTACACACAGACAACCGCGGACATCAATTCGACTAGGACAACGTTCAAATATTAGACAGAGGAAACAACAAGAATGCTAGAGAATTTTTAGAAGTTTGGCATTCCAGTGAATCATCAATCAATAGACACATCGAGATAGACAAAACTTATCAACCGATAAGAAAGAAACTTCACACACACAGGGTCAAAGTTCAAGTCAAAGAAACAATCAGTTCCAATACAAGTAACCTAGAAGGTGTGAAAACGCACATAAACAACCAATCACGTTCAAGATCACCAGGAGAGATGATTAATAAACTCGTGGAGAAATCTAAAAGCTCACTTGAAATTGAAGTATGCGCTGAAGATGTCACCTAGTAGGGTGATGAAAGCTTCGCAAATTAACCATCCAGCTCAGAGAACAAAACCACATCGAAATTATAAATTCTTCTGGACGACATGTGAAGAACTTTTTTAAACGTACCATCATCAACTGAAGAATGATTATTACTTATTTACTTCTACCCGGTGATTTCTGTCAATCATTTTTACTGATGATACGAGACAGCAAAAGCTGTCCACATCAACAGTCAAACTTCACTTTTTGTGTCGCGTTTTCGGTGGTATCGTGTGGCTGGTAGTGATTATAATAATAGGCTTGCGAATCGACTAGTTAAGAAATTGGTCCACGCAACTACAAGTATATTAATGGTCACATCAAAACTGACAACAGGTTATATCAGTTTCCCTAAACAGCTTCCACATATTTGATGAGATTTCGGATGATTAGAACTTTTGATTATGGATAATATTTAATCTCTGTATTTCTGATTTAATTAAAATGTTCAGTTTCTTAACACCAGAATCATCTTTCATCTTATATAACCCTTTTCTCGAAGAAGCTTCTTGAGTTGAGAAGAGGAAATGCGGTAAAATCTTAAGAAAAGTGGCTTTTATGGATAACAAATATGAAAGCAGAATGTTTAAAGTCAGCCATTTATATCACAGTGAATTTTCACCCCTCTAATTGATTTTCCCAGACATTTAGTCAGCAGGTAATGCCTTGATTCGCTTCTCTCAAGGAAGTCTCGGTGCGGCCTCGAGCTAAGCAGTTTGGTGCGTCGGTGGCACAGTGGTTAGGACTCTCGCCGACCATGCACATGGTCCGCGGATCGATTCCCTGCCGACACCTGATATCTATGGTCGACCTGCAAAATTTGGGCTACCGATATCCATGCTGCAAATTCCATACTTGTACCAAAAATACAGTGTAGAATCAAGCTGTAATCAAAAAAATAAATAAATAACGTGTTCAGAATTTAGGGATTTGACTTCTGGTCAGTGTAGATTTCGTCATAAACCGACGTTATTTAGCTTGTAGGAGTATTCATTAGTGTGTGCTATGTTGCAAGTGCGTCGGTGGTTCAGCAGTAGAATCCTGGCCAACCACCTATGCAACGCTGAGTTTGGTTACCGGCCGATGTACTTCTAAATCACAACAAGCCTAGTAAAGAGGAAAGGTTGAGTGTTAGGCAAGACACACCACC